TCACCATAAATGGTCTCATGAGATAAATCAACCATAGATGGCTTTTTGTTGTTCTTCCTCACAACTTCTTCAACAAGGTTTAGAAGTTCATGAACTTGCTTAGCTTTCTTCTTCTTACCGGTTTTCCGCCGTGAGAATTTCCTAGAACCAAAAACAGATCAACTGATAGATGTAAAAAGTTGGCTTCACTTGCGTTTACAACATGAAGATAATAAGTAATTACAGTGTAACAATGACCTTGAAATGAGGAGAGCCCTCCAAATAGTCCTTCATTGTGATCAACTAGTGTATCCTCATTGGTGAAAACTACGATCATGTAGTCCATAATATCACTCCCGAGAAGGATTTTCAACACAGATTTCTCTTCTTCTGTTAGCCGGTTTCTCAAGGAAAATACCAAAAGAACCGTGTCGATCCCTTCTTTGGCTAGACTAGAGCATTTCAAGATCTCTTGAATAATAGACTCGTTTGAGGGGAACAAGCTAAACAGGCCTGCAGAACGAATCACGATGTTGTTAATCTATGATTTCAGTTTTACATGAACAAAAAACACATGCAAACACACACACATACCAGGAGTATCAATAACACTGATGATCTGTCCGTTTCGTCGCTTAACATCTTGTAGCTCACATTCTTTGGTAACAGCTGCTGCGCTTCCTTTTGCCTTGAAGGCCTCTCTTCCAAGGATGCTATTCCCGGTTGCACTTTTCCCATTTCCCGAGAAGGACTAGGGTTCTTGCAAGTTTCTGCGTTGAACAAGATTCACAGGTATCTTCAACACCAGCTCTAACCCTTGAATCAGGGTTTACTGACATCACTGTTTCAGAAAAAAATACAAACCCTGTCAAAGCCAAATCTATAGGTATCATATAAAGAACTAGAAAGTCTCATAAGCAAGTCTTTTCTTAGGTATGGCCATAGAAAAATATGTACATCTCTCAGTTTTCTCTGAAATGCAGAGAATCGATTTCTCTGGACCTAGTTTTATAATACTAATTTCAGGGCATAGATTCACATTGCTTACATGTATGAGTGAGATAAAGATATTCAAAGAGTTTAAAGAAACATAAACATACTTGGATCAGTTGCAAAATCATCCGCTGCTAGTCCTCCACCCATTGAACAGAGAGATTAATGGGTCTTATGCACAAACGGAAATGATCCAAGCCGAAGAAGAAAGTAAAGCGAGATCTCTAGACTTTCTCGTTTCTAGAGATCCAAGCGAACTCAACTAAACCTTTAGTTCTTCCATATAGTAGGAACAAAAAATGAAGGAATATCACAGTCACATATATTCTAATTTAAGGAATGTTGATAATGGTGTTTAGTTCCAATGAGAGTTTTTGTGTCTCGAGAAGTCACAAAAGACAGCTTTATGTTAATGGAGACGATAAAGTTCCAATAAACCAGAAAAATTCTTCAAATCCAACCAGTCAGTGAGGAACTGCATTCTCGGATTCTCTGCTTAAAAATATGTTTGCTTTTATTATTAGTACAAATGAAGGTATTGATACTTCAAGACTTGTTGGAAATTGTGTTTGTGTAGTGATGAAGACCATACACGGTATTCTTGTTTCATACTCATTTCA